TCTCTTCTCTCTCCTTCTCTTTCTCTCTCTCTCTCCTTCTCTCTCTCTTTCTCTCTCCTCCCCCTCCTCCCTCATCTCGCTATCTCTCTCTCTCTCTCTCAAGCTCTCTCCGATCAAAAAGCTCTCTCTCTTCTCTCTCTCTCTCTCTCTCTCTTCCTCTCTCTCTCTCTCTCTCCCTCTCTCTCTCTCTCCTCTCTCTCTCTAGCTCTCCCTCTCTCCTCCTCTCCCTCCTCTCTCTCTCTCCTTCCTCTCTCCTCTCTCTCCTCTCTCTCTCTCTCTCTCTCTCCCTCTCTCTCTCTTCTCTCTCTCTCTCTCTCTCTCTCTCTCTCCCTCCCTCTCTCTCCCCCCCTCTCTCTCTCCCCCCATCACATCCTCCTTTCCCTGAATGTATGCAACACGATGTCCCCTGATGCTTCCCTCACGGACTGGATGAACCGTCGATTAGCGATGCACAATGGCAGCGCTTGAAACACTGCTCCCGGATGCTTCCTTTACTGATCGGATAAATCTCTGGATTAACAATGCGCAGTTACGGTGGCTACAGTGGCTTGCAGTGGATACAGTGGCTTACAGTGGCACGTGGCTCGATTTCGGGAAGCGGCTCCAAAAAAAATGGCTGCAAGGGAGAAACACATCGCTTTGTGGAGCGGAGCATGAGGCCATTTCATAATGCAGCCAACCTGTACTGCGTGTACTGGCCTGCTCGTAACACCAAAACCGTATCTTAAGTAAAGCAGCACGGTTTACAGCGTTTACGCTGTGGCCCAAATTTGAGAACAAATAGAAAAAGAAGAGTAGGTTATGTTAGTTGTCCACCTTGCTTCGCCCCTTAGATCAAGGGAATGTTTTGCCAGTGTAGTCAGACGTCTACCGACCCCTAGAAAGGTATGCTCGTCGTTTATAGCAGCGCACGTACCAACCTCAACCTCAACCACAACCTCAACCCCGTAATAAAGCTATCGTGTTTGCTCGCACCGTCATCCAAAAATCTTTACACCTGGAGGATAAACGGAACAAAAAACAGAGCGCTGTAAGGTACGCAAAGGTTCAGGAGGTTAAATTGAAAAGGTCTCGAGTACGCGGTTGGCCTAGATCCTTCATGGGTAATCCCGTCCCCGTCTCTAGTTGAAAAACAGAAAGGTAAAACCAGACAAATGGATGATAAAACGTTAGCTTGAAGCTTACAATCTACTGTGTGCAAATTTAGACCCTTTGTCCATACTGAATAAAGGTTTTCTTCAATGTACCTACATTAAATTTCTCAAGGCCACGGAAGTTTTTGCATTTTGTCAAAACGAATGAGTCACTTTTGATATGGAGCGCATGTTATTGCCTAGTATTTACAAGGTATCTTTTGGCGCGAAGCTTGAATAAGGCACCTTATGTTACAGGAATTGGGAAAATGGCAAACGTCGGGTAAGTGGGCGTTGTTGGTTCCCGAAGCTCAGCTGGTTAGAGCGCTCGCCGGTGGATTCAGCCGTCCGCGGCGGGCCAAAGGGCTCTAGTCGCCGTGGGCGCTCCCTAATTGCGCGGACCGTGTCGAACATTGCGGCGCCTTACACGCCCGTCACAAAATACTGCCGTTGGCCCATGAGCTTTCCCTATCGGAGCATGAGGCCAGAGGCTGTGCAACAAACACTACTTAGCGTGGGCTCTATTTTCAGAAATCCATCTAATGAAAGTGACTTGGACCAAACGTTTAGGTCTTGATGTATAGGCATTTATTCCACAGGTAGCGGGTGGGCTCGGGGTGACCATGTGTGTACAGGGTGGGCTCGGAGTGACCATGCGTGTACAGGGTGGGCTCGGAGTGACCATGCGGGTACAGGGTGGGCTCGGAGTGACCATGCGGTTACGGGGTGGGCTCGGAGTGACCATGCGTGTACAGGGTGGGCTCGGAGTGACCATGCGGGTACAGGGTGGGCTCGGAGTAACTATGTGGGTGCAGGGTGGGCTCGGGGTGACCATGCGGGTACAGGGTGGGCTCGAAGTGACCATGCGGGTACAGGGTGGGCTCGGAGTAACTATGTGGGTGCAGGGTGGGCTCGGGGTGACCATGCGGGTACAGGGTGGGCTCGGAGTGACCATGCGGGTACAGGGTGGGCTCGGAGTGACTATGTGGATACAAGGTGGGCTCGGAGTGACCATGCGGCTACAGGGTGGGCTCGGAGTGACCATGCGTGTACAGGGTGGGCTCGGAGTGACCATGCGGGTACAAGGTGGGCTCGGAGTGACCATGCGGGTACAGGGTGGGCTCCAAGTGACCATGCGGGTACGGGGTGGGCTCGGAGTGACCATGCGGGTATAGGGTGGGCTCGGACGGGCGGCGTTATGAGAGCGCTGCTCACCGGCTTGTGATGTTCTTCGTGCGCTTTTTCTACTGCCTGAGTTAAAATGATTGCTGCTGCAGCAGACCAAACAAGCCATGCAATTAGGCCGGCATTATATCAAATTGCATGAGACGCGGAACTCCCATCACTACCAGATGGCAGAGTGGACACCGCCATCTATAGAGGGAATCATCAAACTAAGCTTCGGCCGTCCCATGACGTTTCGCCCGCGCTGCGCGCCGAGTCGGCGGCTGTTCACTGAACTCGTCGGCATGGGAACATGGCTCGTTCCTGGCTCAGGATGCATTGCAGATCACACATGACGTAGGTAGTGAGTCGTAGTTAGGTGGAGTGCTTCCTCCGCCGCGGTAGACAGCGGCGTGCAGCTGTACAGCAGGCTGCCTCAGCATTCATGGTGACGCCGTGACCGCGCTGGGGACGGAGGAGTACCGTCGCCGTCGTTTGTCATCGGGGCCTTACGACGCACCCAGCTGCTGAGGCTTTATGACCTCAACTGCCTCTCACCCTGTCAGAAAGGGCAGGCACCGCGGGGAATCGAACCCCACACCTCTGGTTTCCCAGGCGCGCAGTAGTTAACGCAGGCGCGTTAGCCACGGCGACAATCTGCACCCACGGCGGGGCGCCGCGCACGATCACATTGGCGTCCTTGTTGCCAGCTGGACACTCAATCGTCGGAGAGTGTTATCTGCCACATTGTGCATGAACCTGTGTGTGGACGGCATCGACCAGGGAGGGATAAGTCGCCTGCGCCAGTTTCGTTGTATAGTAAAGGATCAACACCGAATTAGACCATACTGCGAACAAAATTGTTGTTTTGACACTTTATATAAGCTCATTGTAGGGAATGGGGGTTGACTGTCATAGCATTAACGGCGCCTCTGACTCGGTATTCTGACTCTGCTTCTAGACACGACTTGATTAGAATGCCGGTTTATTCCCACTGGTTTAGGCATCGAACGCTCTCTGGAAACACGAGCTATAAATCTTTCTGAAACGGGACGTAGGTCCCGCTCCCAACGTCACAGATAGTCGGCAGCCACAAGCATACGTGCGTAAATAAATACAGTCGCTTAGAACCGATGGGTAACGATAGTGCAGTGGTCAGCCGGCGCTTCCAGCAAATCACAGGCACGGGGTTGGATTCCCTGCGGTGCTCGCCCTTCCTGCTAGGCTGAGAGGCAAGCGGTGTCGTAAAGCCTCAGCAGCTGAGTGCGCCGTATAGTTTTAATACCAACACAACGACTCGCTCAGAAGCGGCCCGGCGTAAAACAGGGTATAGTGTAGGTACCAGGCATTTAAGTCCATGATACACATGACATCGGATATTTGCGGCTTTTAAGATGCATTCCATGCGCAAAGAGCACAGCTTAAACAAGAATGGGCTCCAAAAGTACTAAGACATGTCTAGAATAAGAGAATAGTAGTATGCATGTTTGCTCTCTGCACACGTGCGGAAGCAGTTGATGGACCACCGAGGCCTGGTGCAATGGAAATAATCGAGACCCTCCTTCAATTGGACCGCTCTGACGCGTCAGGGACACAGGGTGCAGCGTTTGCCCCCCCCCCCCCGCCGTTGGCTGGCGCCACCGGGCCGCCATTTCCGTGGGTTTTTCACCGTGTGTTTTTACTCGCGGCGCGCCATCGGAAACCACAGAGGTGGGCTGATGGGCAGGGAGGGCGACGTGGGGACCCCGGAAGACGAACCTGTGCGGCCGATAAGGAACACTTCTTTCTGCTCGTACCACCGCCTGTGACGTGAACAGGTCGCTGCAGCGCGCGCCAACTGAGGGCCTCCTGGAGTTGGGTCTGGGGAGGGGCGGCCTGGGTGGTCCGGCCGCACCGGGCTGACTGCCGCCAGAAGTGCGGCGCTGATCAGTTCGGTGGCGGACGGTGGGGGGGGGGGGGGCATTAAGCACGCCCCCACCGTCGCACTTGCGACGCTGTCGGAGGGGGACGGCGCGCCAGCGTCGGTCGCAACAGCTCGGGAGAGAGTACGGCGCCACTCACCCGCTCTGTCGGCGGGACCATGAACCGGCGGTCAGCGCTGTTGCTCGGGGCACGGCTGCAGCACGCAGCTGCAGGCGAACTGAGGCGGCGCGCCGGCCGCTCGGACAGGAGGCAACGGCCGGCCGGCCGTCGCGACCTTGGCGGGGCGGCGGCGGCCGGGCAAGGTCGCGGAGCAGCTGCACGCCGCCCGGCCCGCCGTATCCCGGCCATCATTACAAAAAGTGACTGGCCGCTGTGGCGCCGGCCGGGCCCGGCTGGGCCGCCGAGAGCGGCGGCGGCGTTCGCCCCGGGCCCACCGGGAAAGCCGCGCTGACTTGGCTCGACTCGGCCCATCTCGGCTCGGCTCGCGGCAGGTCGCCGCACCCCCTGAACACCGCCGGCCGGGGGAAAGTGACCGCACTTGGCATTTTTGTGGCCTAGGGACGGCCTGACATCATCGGGAGGGGCTACAGACGTCATCGAGGCAGGTGCTCCCTCCCGTCAGCTGTGACGGAGGGGTGCTGGGCTGCGATTACCGGTGTACACAGCTGTGCGCGGTGCCACACCGCCGGTCGATACGGGCGGATGGCATGCTGGGGAGGGGGTGCCGCCTTTCCGCGGCAGCAGTGCATTGTGCCGGCCGTTCTCGCTGTCCCCCGGTCCGGACAAGCGGCGTCCGGTGCAGAGCGGGCTGGTCAGGCGGCTGGGGGTGGCGGGCTGCCCGGGGGACCGCCATGGTGAGCCGCAAGGACAGCGTGTCGCGAACGGACCGGGCCATGGTCGAGCACGTCAGGAGGCTTGTGTTTGAGGCCGACTCGGAGCACGAGCAGCAGACGCCGTCGGGCAGCGCGTGAGTTCTTGTCACTCGTACAGCTCAGTGCGAGCGCTGCTGTAGCAAGCGAAGCCGAGCCAGGTCTTACCGCTTCGTTCCAGTCAGTATGCCTGCTGGAAGTTTTGTGCTCAGTAGTGCAGCAAGAGCTGATGGTATCGGAAGTTATGTTCAAATCCGGCCTTAGTACCAAAGGAGCTTTTGTTTGCAATATAAGCTCTTCTCTTTCATGCCAGTTCTCTTGAAAACTTCATCACCTTTCAGGGCGTCCGTGAGTGGCGTTTTGGACTGCATAGGTTGCATGTTGCTTTGTTCGCAGTGGTTTTATCACCTGTGTGTTATGCAGACGAGATATCCCCAAGTAAACCAGCAACCTGTGTAATATGCAGTCGAGATGTCCCCAAGTAGACGAGCAGCCTGCGTGTTATGCAGTCGAGATATCCCCAACTAGACCAGCACAGATGTTTTCAAAATGGCGAAGTCCGAGATAGGAAAGAATGCTTTTAAGGATGCGTTGCCACGAAACGTTATGGGGGTCAGGTTATACACTTGATTGCCGTGAGCTCTGACCCATGAACTCATCATACTCACACACAGATGCACATGGTGAAGATGTAATCCGGAGGCGGTGCGTGTGGGGTTGGCGACTGTGAGTTAAAGCAAAACAAAAGTCAGCGACATTTCAGCGATTGAAATTCACACAAGAACGTACTGTGCCCTTGGGTCACCTTGTATTTAGATCACAGAGTGATGTGACATGGAAGTGCCGTTTGATTGGTCTTTCCTCTTTCAAGTATTTACGTGCATTGCGGCATGCCACTGTCACAAAAGCGAAATGTAAAACAAATCACAGGACCCTGTCTGAGGGGATTGCTTATTCATTATCTCCGAAGTATGTGTTTTTGCTTTTACAGCTCTCACGAAGCCTGTTAAATTTGGCTTACAAATATTTTTCTACCTCAGCCCTTCATTCGAAGCCTGACACAGCACCGACTCATAATTATGTACTTGCAGAATTTTACTTTTGAATCTGGCACCGCCGTGCCAATGGAGTGCTTGGACAATGTCTGAGGAGTCACCATTCTGCCAGTAAAGTTACAGCTTCGTCTCGAAAAGCCCGCGCGACTTCTGCATCGTCATCCGACGTCAGCGAGTGGGTGGCGCATGCATCCGCTGATAACGTGCGGGTGCGTACAATGCTGCTGTTTCCACGCTTTGCGGTGGGAAGTCATCTGATGTGATTGCACCGGCCCCATGCTGTGGCAGCGTCTCACAGATAGCACACCTTCCACGGATGAATGGAGAGGTGCCAGGTCTGGTGGAAGCAAGCTTTTTTGGACAAAGAACGGTCCCCAAATAACTGCTGCACCTTCATTCACTCCGAGGTTGTTGTCTTATACGTTTGCTCGCTTTTGCAAACAGACGTAGGAATGTGGCACATAATCTAAATGCGAATGCCATGCAATCCCTGGTTGAGCGCTTCGATATGAACCGACCTCAGCGTTTGCAGGAGATACATGGTCTTCTTATCAATGGTGTTTGCTAGGGTAATGCCTTAAAACACAGGCTGCTCATGGATCGGTCGGTCTGGTCACTTCTCGGAGACCTTTCGGGGCCGTGAAGCCCGTCCAGTCCAGTGTTCCAAGAGGCCGTTCGGAGGCGCCCGCTCTGTTGTTGCACGCCGACTTGGCGCGCCGCTGGCAGCTGCTGACTCATATCCGGCGTGCCAGAGTGTGCCAGTTCCTACGTGGTGGGACTCCAGCCGGACGTCCTACCTTCCCTTCGCGCCTGCTGGCGGTGTCACCAAGCCCCCCCCCCGCATTACTGCATTCTGGGTAGCGATGCTGTGACGTCATCATGGGACGAAGTCATATGGCACCAACGCCACAGCTGCGTGAAAACGCTGTTCTTTGCAGGCTGGTTTAACCACAAATATGTCCATAAACCAAGTTTTTCGACCTAGCACATTCAATGAAACATTTACAGCTGGGAAATGACATTGGTTTGCAACAGAGCCACAAGATTATTGCTGAAATGCGCTTCCAGTCTGCCGCCGACAGACACGTGGAGTAACCCATTCACCAGTGATATATTCTGAAGAACTCTAGCCAGAAGTGCCTAGAAGCAATCTTTATAAAAGAGCGCAACATGGAACAACAACAACATAGGATGGAAATGAAAACGGCGAGCCAGAGGGGGTCACAACACCCTGGGACGCGCATTAAGAAGTTGGAATGCACATCCTGTAGCCTTAGGGTGAGCGTTGTCAGGGCGAATGCAGGGTTGGCCTGCCCTTTTGAGGTCAGCAAGTGGTCATCCCTGGAGCCTAAGTACAGCGCGTGCCATTTCAGTTCAAGATAGTATAATTTGCCTGCAAAATGGGCCAATTTCCGGCAAGTTATGCCATTTATGCCAGTCAAAGAGTTCAGGCCCACATCTCAGCTCCGAAGTGGTCTAACAGGGATATTTTGGGGTGGTGGGGGTATTATTCTCTGCGCACCATTTTTATCTAACCCATCCAACATTATAGATCTGCAAGTAACCAACACCTAGGAAGATCGCAGCACAGGAAAAGCGAAATCCTTGGTACCTGCCCTCCTCACATGGCGTTGTTTTCACATTTCACTTGATACAGGTACTGTAGTGGAAACAATATATGCGCAATCATCGCCCATTGATAAATCTAATGTAAATCTTACCTATGACATCTATTTATTTACATCTAATATTCCTTTCACAAAAACGCATTCCATATCGATATTCACGCGCGTATTCGATATTCTCGGCTAATATAGCGCGGGTGCCAAAACTAGAAAACGTGGTTTATTGGAATGTATTTTTGCAATTCGATTCCAGAATTGATGTGTCTTGAGAGGGTTTGGAGTGCGAAATTATTCTATCTATTCACATAGCATTGAAATAAATATGAAGAACAGGGTTGTCATTCAGCTCAATGGTGAAATCACCGTTTTTAATCATGTGACGAGTACCTACCAACCTTTTCCTAGTATCAACGAAAAACCCTACTGCGGACTACTAAATTTTAATCCCATGGTGACGTTGTGTCTGCGTAGCCTTATCTAGTAGCCTTGGGTGTCACCACTCCCGTGTGTGTGTGTGTGTGTGTGTGTGTGTGTGTGTGTGTGTGTGTGTGTGTGTGTGTGTGTGTGTGTGTGTGTGTGTGTGTGTGTGTGTGTGTGTGTGTGTGTGTGTGTGTGTGTGTGTGTGTGTGTGTGTGTGTGTGTGTGTGTGTGTGTGTGTGTGTGTGTGTGTGTGCGTGCGTGCGTGCGTGCGTGCGTGCGTGCGTGCGTGCGTGCGTGCGTGCGTGCGTGCGTGCGTGCGTGCGTGCGTGCGTGCGTGCGTGTGCACGGAGCCTGTCTCGACTCAGGGAGCCGTGAGTACAATCATGCAGAAAATGCTTCTATGATGCTCAAAGGACCCAAACGACACAGCCATGACGCCTTATTAAGAAGACAGGATATTATGGATCTTCGGGAGAAGGGGGGGGGGGGGCGACATTTAGGGGATCCTTCTAGCTCGCTAAGGGGCTCACCACAAGCGGGGTCTACGACGTTAGTCTAAAGTTCCGAAACTGATGTAATGTCGCCAAGGATGTGGCTTGCTATTCAGTTGGGGGGGGGGGCGGGGGGACGGGGGGGGGGGCTCCAGGGGGGGGGGGCTCAGGGGACGGGCTCCAGCCCCCCAAACTTGGGTTTCATCCCCCAACTTTGAAAAGAAAGTGAGCCAAACCCGAGAAGTCTGCATTGTTGACGTCGTTTCGAAGCAGTCTGCGTCGTTTCTCACTGCTCAGTCCCCAACTCCTTTTGCAGAACTACACCCCTAGATGTTGCCATTTCACCGCCTGCCTTTTTACTGCCGAAAATGCTTCGTGAGCCAATGTGCCCAAACACCCGATCCTTCATTTGCCATTTCATCTGTCGAAGTCGCCAAAGACGTAAGTGCCTGCGCATTCGAGGCCATTGATGGCACGTCGAGGGTGACCTGACACATGAACGGTGCAGGTGCTGCCGCCAAAGCGGCCGGGGATGGCATGCCTCGGCGGACGATGTGGCGTCGGCAAGAACATAAGCCGATCATAAACTGTGCCCAGCACATAGAGGACGGCTGAGATGGCATTTAAAACAGTTTCGCTTTCATTGCCTCCCTTTCATGGTTGGTCGGATTTATCGGAAGCGTTTGCTTGGTCTGTCCGCCATAAAATGTTCGCCTCGCTCCAGTCTGAATAGATGAGTCGCCTTCCAAATGCCGGCGGACCACAAAAACGGCGAGACTGGGCTGGCTGGCTCTGGACAGGCCGGCCGAGCAGCCCGCGAGGCACGCTGCCGCCTGGCGGCCCTCTAGCAGCGCTCGTGCACCGCATCACCCGGATTTGGAGTTAAGCGACGGGCCGTAGTCCGCTCCTGGGCCGTAGTCCGCTCCTGGGCCGTAGTCCGCTCCTGGCGGACGGTACACAGCCTGCCTAATACCCGTGAGCTCATCGCTGCAGCTATTTCAAGGCTGCATTACAAATGTGTTTTTTTTTTTGGTATTTCCTGCCGAAAGATCGCCTGTGGCTTCCTGACGTTCCTCCGTGCAAGCAGGAATGTTAAATGTCGAACATAGACGCTTCCCTCTCTGTTGCCAGCAAAGATGCAATGTAACCACCTAAAATCGATTAAAGCGCCGCTCGGTCCCTTCTCGATCAGCCATCATCCGCCATGTGGCTGTACACGTTTCCTGCCCGGGTCTGTGGTGCCGTCCGTCGGAAAAGTGGCGTGCGGCGGTGAACTTGGCTGGTTTCCCTGGGGACGCCCCTGACCAGAAGGCTAGCGTGCCCCGGCTGCGCTCCGCCCCGAGCGCAGATTCCCACGGTCGCGTGTCGGCATGGTCTAAGCGGGCCCACTGCCTCGCTGGCGCTGGTCTCCGCGGCCTGCACGGCCGGAGCGGGACGGCGGGACGGCGCTGACCCCGGTCCCGCCGTCCCGCCACACTACCAGGCCACCAGCCAGTCCCGCGGGGCA